TCGAAGATATAAAGGTTGGGTTCCCGGTTTCTAACGCACAACCTTTGTAGACTCAGGTCGATGTCCAAATGGGTTTACAACAACTATTAATTCTGTGACCTCCCGACGCTGAGAACTTGTCTTCTTATTTCTCACCTCCGTCTTCTCTTTCGCGTCTTCTCGTTTGCGTCTTCTCGCCCACAGCTTCTTGTCCGGCACTTCTCGTCCGCAACTTTTCTCGTGTGTGCTCAATCTTCCCAGTACCCACATTCCACCATTCGACCCTCAACCGTAACGATGTCCAGTTCAGACACTTCCCAGACGGTCGATGAGCCATCTACGGCCAGAACCTCACCCACGAACCAGACCTTAGACGAGGGTATCGTTCCGCAACTGGAATCCTTTTCCATCACGCCGGAGTTGCGCGCAGAGCTCGCCCTCAGAAAGCAGGCACCACCACGCTCGACCAGACAAACACAGAGCGAGTCAGCCATTGCAGTCGAAAAGTCCGAGACACACCTCTGCGATGAGAAATATTCGACAAAGGATAAGTGCCACGTTCAGCATAAGAATCCACGGGCGCAGCACTGCGCCGAAGGGACGTCGACGAGCATCGAAACTCCCAACGCAGATGGCTTCATTTTTCCCAGGCAGTGTCCGACTTTGGGAGAAGAAACGCCTGCGCCGCAGATGCCCTCAGGGCTATACTGCTCTTTCTGCAGAACCATGCATCCTACATCTCAGTTCTCGGAGGCCGAGCAACAGAAAGCGCACGGCGAGAGGATGTGCATCAACATCACCGGCACATTGAGGCTCTGTCCTCACCTGACGATGTCGATGATGGATATCTGGCAGTACTTCGAGAGTTGTTGCGAAGACGCCGCCGACAGCGATTGCGAGTGCGATCTGACTATTATTGAGGCGTGCCATTTCTGTTTTCACGGCTTGTCGGAGCTCGACAGGGCCGAAAAGAGGACGAGAAAGCCCACCTATACCTTCCATCTTTGCGAGAAAGAAGGGTTTGACGACATTGGAAAGTTCGACATCGAGTGGACCTTGCCTGTCGCGGGGGTGCATCACGGTGACGAGAGTGGGGTCACGGTGGCTACCATGAGAGAGAAGCTGCAACAGTTCGACAGGACGCGTGAGCACATGATTTGCCCACATTTCGAGTGGGAGGACATCTTGAGAGCACTGATGTTTGCCAGTCAAGATGCCAATGGTAAGGCGTATCCCGCGGGGGAGTGTGAAGGTTGTCCTACAGAGTACTTTGCTGAGAAGCATGACGATATTGTCTTCTTGCGCAGAGAGACGTGGGGTGTTCTGAGGAGAGAGGACGAAGAGACGCCGGTGCTTGATGGTTGCAGTGGTCTGGTTGACCAACTTGAGCTTTGTGACTGCAGAGCCTGCTGGAGGCCATCAGATGAAGATTGATCTCAACCTCCAAACTGAAAGCTCCTGCAAGCCTCTGGATCGGGTTTCGAATGATTGCAGGCATGGGTGTAGGTTTTGGGATGCAGCAGCCTGACCAGTGGGTTTTGGTCAGCCAAAGGCCGGCAACTAAGTTGCCATAGCGATAGCGAGGTGTGCAAGCGGAATCATCACTCATAGCGAAACCAATATCAATACTTCAGTCAATGTTCAGAAGCGACTGTGCAGAAGGGATAGTGATGTGTGAAATGCATAGAATGTCACCGGGTCGGGTCTTCGACTCATTTTCCAATGTTACTGTTCGATGTGAAATCTGTTTCTTCGACTAGTGTGCTCGGTGTCATGGTATGATGTGTTGGAGAGCACAAAGAGAAGTAAGTAGAACGAACACCAACGTTCGAAGACCATGGTCGAAGCGCGGGGTGTGGCTTCGGCACTGATTGCCATCGTGACGGCCGCATACCAAACTAGGCAACCGCTTTCCAATACTATTCGCGGTGATCACGTCGAGATCCATCTGGGATGTTCCCAACAGTCGGTGATAATGCGCAGAGACGACTGGCATCATTCCACCTCTTCCGTTCAGTTATGACCGGGCATCTATAGTCTCAGAAGCCGTATCGTCGAGATGAGCATCTATCCGAGTTCATGGACCGACTCAACGTCAATATATTGACAGTCTGGTCAACCCGTATAAGTAGGTATCGCAGTGCACTCTGTACTTTTATTCACAGTACTTGAAACCCAATAGCAGCACCTTGACCTGTGCCCGATCTCGATTAAGCAAATAAACAAAACTCAACGTCAGTATATAAAGTTATAATCCCAACTTACAGTCAAGCAAAGAGCCTAAACCAATGAAGGGCTCATCCTTAGTGCGTACTGCATCCTGGTCGTAGCGCGAGGACGTATGACTAGTCTACGCCGCCTACTGTTCCGGTGTTTTCTCAACGTAGGTGTTGGCAGAAAAAGTATTTACTGCGCAATCAAGAAAGCATGCCCATGTCTCTGTCAATCATCTTTACTGGTCACTCGGGACTGAATACACTCATACTGGCACGGACGGGGACTTGAAACTGCCTCGATCTGATGTGAAGATAGTCAGACTTTTGTAAACTAGACATAGATAAGGGAGTAGATGGCACTTGAAACGACTACGTGCCTCCAACAGAGTTATTTTGTCTTTGCGTTAAGCCACCTATTAAAAGTCGTAAAGCTTTATTATAGTCGTGTTCAGGGGCGACCACACTTGTCAAGTATCAATCGTTTTCATCGGTACTGTGGACTCAGTGTGCTGCCCGCATCCTCTCAACACCCATCATCTTGTATTTAACGCTGAAAGGTGTGTTAGCTCGAATGTGACCTGCAATGAGCGAGAGTGGCTAGGGTCGCCTGATTCGAATGATTGACCGGAGGCATCCACGGCTGGAATTCCCGAAACGAGTGCCTACTCCTTAGCGCTTCTTCCCCGCCCCGAGCTTCCATCTGGACCATATTTCTCTCAGAATAACTCGGACTTCGTGAGGTAATGGGGGCAGTTGGAGGAGACTAGTCTCAACCCACAAGCATACAGCTAGCTCTTCCTGTCTCGGCACCATAATGATGGTTGTTGGATGTTAAGAAAGCGAACAACAGAGAGTTCATTGCTTGTTGAGAACGAATCTTTGTGAATCGGCAAAGCTTTTTAAGAAGGTGTTTTACTCACTTGAAAATGGCGTGGATGGGTGGTCGGCGAGGTATTTGAGAGCCACCGCTCCTGGTTTGCAGTATTGTCATGCACAGGAGCCAGATACCTCAGCTTGTATGCGATTGCATCTGCAACAACAGTCGACTCAATCAATGCATGTCAAGTAACCAGAGCCGGCAGTCTACTCGGATCGCTCCACAAGCGCACGTCGCCAACCCACCGTCATCGTACGTCGTCTCCATCCCACAAGTCGGGGTCCGAATAACCAAAGCTCGTCAGCGATCAGCTGCTTCACAATCGTTCTAGTTTTTGATTGAAGACACAGTCCCTTCAGCGATCGTCTTCGTCTTATCAGCTACCAGAAAAATTCTTACTGGACCGTGAATCCAGTGCGTCTTCTCATTCATCTTCTGGAAGCTTTGTCAACACATTTATACCAGAAACATCCACACTTGATGATCGAGAATCTTCATCCCTCACACACATATTCTCATTCGGTGACAGGCCACGCTACAAGCTTGAAGTATAAAATGTCTTGCACATTTCGGGTATGCCTTTCTTCTCTACAACAACAATGACAGCTCGTCTGAGGAACGATTTTATCATTTACCCCAGTGTCAGAACAGCCATAGTAGGAATACTTGATGGTTTCTACCCTCTCGCGAGTCCGACAGATCCACAATCGTCTATTCTCGTCACTGCTGCGAGCGTATTCTTCCACATAAAATGGTAGTCAGGGGGGCGTCGCCCCGACGTATGTCATCGACAATGTACATACTCAAGTACCAAAAAGACACTCGAGTCAAGACGTCTTTGTTCTCGTCATGACACTCGTTGCTCTTGTGATGATAGTTCACCCAGGAAAGGTTTATAAAGACGCTTCTTTAATATTTCGCATGAGACTCATGATGCAAGTCACCCTTCGCCAGAGATATAAAAGAGCTCCGTGGTACACATCGGTCATGATCCTCCAAACAAGAGCGCCAATATGCATAGTGGTCATGCCGATGACCTGGAATATACGGACACATGTCGTCCAAATTTCCTCGCGGTGATCAGAGCCATCCTACCAAGACCTAAGAATCATTCTTAACACCGGGTTATCTCTGTTGTTCAGCATCGCTACCAGTGTATACACATGGAATAACGCACCACATTGTCTCCCCATGTAGGCATCTTTGAATACCATGATACGGGTTGCTAATGGTAAAGCAGGTTTGCCCAGCATTCTATTGAATTCATACAACCCAGCCGATTAACTTGATCGACATGGTTCATTTACGGTGCATTGGTGTTGCAAGACATCTCAAGCATACATCAAGCCCCTTTATACTACAGCAGTGGTACCAGGCAAAGTCCCCGCTCCCCTGCCCGCGCGCCACGAAATCCCCCACCCATCTTTCCAAGTCAGGAAGATATATTAAAACACTAAGAGTCACTTCCAGGAGCCCTTCAGGACGGCCAGAATTGAGGATTACCTCCCTCAGGTTGAAAGAAGTAATGTCCACCAAGCAGGGAGCTGAACACGCCCGAAACCCTAAACATACCTCGTCGACCTCATCGAACAGGTATCTGATTTCTCTGCTCTTCACCGCTTCACATCATCGTGGTATTCCACATTTAATTATCAGTTGTAGTCTATTGATGATCGCGGTGGAGGGTTGGCTATCACTCCGCATAGTCATTGGTCATCGGCTCTTACGCTTACGATTCGGAAGAGAAGAGATTAATTGGCGGGGTCTAGCATATCATTCAACTGGCCTCGTTAACAAACCATCCCTTTGACTACTACGCACATAGAATAAGCGCAAATAAGACACAAGAGCCATCGGAGAACAAGCCGCATATCATGAAGCCATCTCGGCATTTCATTAACCATATCTCATTACTCTAATAACACACCTCACCTCAAACTCTGCTGCATGCTGTCCTCCTCCGGTCCGGCAAGGAACACCCGTCCCTTAAGCTCCTCAACAACGCTATCTCTCATCCACCACTCCAAATCCTTCTCATCCGCAACCTTGGCCTTCTCCTTAGCGCCGATCTGCGCTCGGCGATCTGCCCACTCGAACAACATCTTCAACCCGCACAGACGCTCCCTGCTGGTCCCATCCATGCTCCTCTCCAGCACGAGTCGGGCGTCGACTGACGATCCGGAGCTCTCGCCCGCCGCGCCCTCTGTGCTGGCGCTGCGGTCCAGTACGGTGGCACGTTCCGCGTACGTCAGGTCGCGAAGGGCGTCGAGGTCGAAGAGCCATTCGAGAGGATCGCGCTTGCCGTTGTCCGTGACGTCTACCAAAGCATCTCTGCCCAGGGCTCGGAGAGTAGACGAGAAAGGAGCTTCCTGAGCAGGGCGACGACGAAGGTACAAGCTTTGGTTCTGTCTGAAGGCATCGATGAGTGCTGGGTTCTTCTCAAAGTCGATCTCGAGGTCCCAGAAGGCTGGGCCGGCATTCGTTCGGATGCTTGCGATTTCGGACAGGGGAGGCAGAAGGCAGGGCGTCTGTCTGACAACGGCGGCGTCGGAGTCTTCAGGGTCGCCTTTCTGTCGCTTGCGGCGGATTGAGATGGATGAAGAGATGGGCTGACCCGTCGCCACGTCCTTGGCGACCAGGCAGCGATTGTCAGTGGCCAGGACCCAGAAGTGGCGGAAGGCTTGGAGGTGGGAGCGGTTGTCCTGGACCGAGGTTGGAAAGACAGGGTAGAACGAGATCAAGAGGGACGCGATGGCCATATTGCTTGTGCCAAATGTTGCTGTGCCACAACCAAGGAAAAGAGATCCGATAGCAAGATGGGCGGCTAGGTGAGAGCCATACGGAGTTTCGGGGTCGTCTCGGCCGTGGAGGAGGCGGAGGCGGCGGAGTACGACAAGATCGCCCGTTCCTGCCATGACGATTGCTGCGGAGAGAGCAAGGACATCCTGGCACATGCGCGCGTTGGAGCGTGCAAGTTCTTCGTCGTATACGGGGGTTTCCTGCAAGCGACCGGTGCCAGGGATGCGGGAAATGCGGATAAAGTTGTCGAGGTAGTGGATGAGGAGGTCTCGGACCTTTGTGGACGCGCTGCCCGCATAACGCAGCGCGACGGAGAAGCAGAGGCCAGTAAGAATGCTGAAGAAAGGCAGGTCGGTGCTCTTCAGCTTAGAGATGCCTGTTAACTTGTGACGGACACGGAATGGTTTGGGTAAGCTGCCCAGTATCCAGTCGAATGTGGGCTCAATCTTGCTCCACATAATGAGGTTCTTGGCGACTGTGCGCAGGAGGAGGATGTCGGGGCGGATATAATCGAACTGAACGATGGAGTCTGGTACGTCAATCTTGCGAGCGACGATGTGGTCCTCGGACTTCATGAATATCAATGTCAGCGCCATTACTGCGCCAGCGGCTGCTCGATCTAGCACGTGAACCATTTCGACCTTCTTGGTGGCTGTAGCAATATTGATCAGACTTTCAGTGAGCCTCATGTCGTGCAGGCCCCTCAGGTCGTTGCCCTTGCCGAGATTAATGAGTCCCAATGCGAAGCCAGCAGAAAGCCGATAGCATTCGCTTCGCAAGGGCTCATCCTCATCTTCTTCGTCAACGTGCTCGATCTCAGACATCATGATCTCGCTCATGCGTCTGTGCTGACTGTTGCAGTATAGGAGACCTATTCCCATAATGCCCGTAGTCTGCGTGAGTGCCGATAGGTTAAGCTCCGCAGCCCCGCGAGGCAACATGCGCGTAACATGCACCGACAGTAAACGGGTAATGAGAGAATCCATGGTGCCTATGTAGGATGCGGCGAGACCAAGAAGAAGACCAACGGAGGTCATGGTATGTTTTGGAGTGAGATACTTGAAGGCAACCCATTTCGCGATGCCTTTCAGGTGGCCGTTCAGTCCCAAGGCCAACAAGAAGCCCGCATGACGATTACTAAGGTCTTGGCCTGGCTTGTTGTATAAGATCCATGAGGTGTCAATGCCCTTGGCCTGTGGTGAAATGGCCAGACCAGCTGCGACTCCTTGGTGGAAAAAGCCCCAGCAGACCTTCTCTTCAGTGAACATCGACTTGTCTACACCAACAGTAACGTTGGTGGGGCGAACAATGCAGTTGAGGTTGAAGCCCCCAACGTGAGTCTTTTGGGTGAGCAGCGGGTATCGCAGGCTGTAGTACAACAGAGCGCGGCCTGCCGGGATGGCCAGGGTGCCGGTGGCGATCCTCGAAACGAGCTCCTTCTGTTTTTCCAGGTATTCGCTCTCAGACCAGTTGGGCCTGGTTTCAAGACGGACGACACGGGCTCTGTGTGTTGATAGGAGCTCCTGTGCTTCATTGAGACGGCGGTCTTCTTTGAAGAGGGCTCGAATGACTGCTTGGCGTTCGGTGCCCTCTCCTTCATCAAAGCCGGTGTTGTTGTACTCCTCAACGCTCTGGCAAATAGTTCGGTAATCCCAAGACGCGGTATGAGTGGGTGTCTGTGACTGGTTAGATCATGGATGCTGAAAGGGCATGCAATACTCACAAGAATGCTGGCACTGCTTTTGTCTAGCTTCTTGCTAGGAGCCAAAATCATACTGACATCCCCGCGATTGACGAGTTCAAGTAGGTCTTTGGGCCATGAAGGCGGCGGCCGAGCCTGACATCTAGCGATCGAATCTTTCAGAGGTGTAAGAACAGCTTCTGGGAGAGTCTCCAGCACCCGGCTGTCTATGCCGGCCGAGTGCATGGCTTCGACAATGCCAACGGAGTTGGTCTTTGGGGTTAGTTTCTCGAAAAGACGCTTGAACATGAGTGTTCTAGGGGTTATTGATGCCCATCTGGAGTCCTTGAGCGAGTCTTGCTCTGGCTTGGAGGTCTGGGAGTGATAAAGGTTGGCTAAGGTGAGGAAAGGATGATATTGGCCTGTGGAGAAGCAAGTCTGGATCCAGTGGAAGATGTCGAAGTCGACGCCTGATGGTTGCGTAAGGGGGACTTCAAGGTGAAGCTCTGTTACGGGTTAGCGAGTGTTCTCTCGTGATTGAAATGGACCAACCTGTGTCGTAGCGAGGCTCCAGTTCCTCCTGAATGCCCAGCTCGTACATGTCCACGAAATCTTGCCACCCAAGCCATCGCGCAATCTGTCCCATGACGACTCTCAACTGGGTAGTTCCCGGAGACGCGTATTCTGGGGTCATGATCTCTAGCTTCTGCTCCTCAAGCAAGACATGAAGCGCCACGAAGATGTTCCAGGCAGCATTGCCGCGGTTCTCGGCACTCCGTTGCATTCCCGTAGGAAGGTAACCGTTTGCGCCAACGGCCTTTTCTCCCAACGTGGAGGACAGATAGCCTCTGGCATACTGGATATGGGTAGACATAAACTTGGACTCCCTTAGACTAGGGTTGGGTGTCTCCAGATCGTCGTCGAATTCCTTGTCAAGGGTCCACGCCCAGCCGCCAGTCTGCTGCCAGCTCGGACATCCCAGAGCGTTCGGTGTCTCATGGAGCTGTAGCGTGTTCCAGTCCTCGAGGCTCTGTATTGACCCAAAAGAGCCTGAATGCTGCCGGCGCTTGCTTCTTGATGATTTCGTCGGGGACGGGTGCTTCGAGTCGGATTTGCCAAGGGCAAGATAAATGGCTAGCAGCTGGATAACGAGTGCAGACCATTCAGCATCGGCGACGTCAAAGTCCTCGCATCTTAGCCATATCATGACGTGCCACCAGCCAGGGAACATCTTCTCGGCATGAGATGCTGGGAGAATGCTGCGACAAGCATCCAACACTTTGCGGACCAGCGAATTATGGGGTTGAAGCTGGATCTGGATCTGATGATGTCTATCTTCGCCGTCGACCATATCAACGATGCCTTTGGCTTTGGAATACCGAAGGCCACCGACATTACCGTTAGCAACCTCGATGACTTCAGATTTGCGATGGCGGACATCTCGGTCCACCACGCGGCCACGATAGTGAAGACTTCTGACGTTCTCCAAGGACATGAGGGGCAGGTTGATTGGGGTGATCTGACTCCATGGTGCTTGTATGCTGAGCTCTCGACGACCCTCGTGTCCTTCTGACAGAATGAGGATGACGGAGATGTCTCCATCGGTCACTTTGCAAGAGTCCACCACATGATGTGCTCGTCGGAGAGCGCCGCACGACAGCCGAACAGGATCTTCAGACGAGGTGGCACTTTTTCCAGGCTTTGGCGGCACCAGGAATCGCGGCCCTCGCTGCAAGTCAATCGTCAGAAGCTGCAGTCTCTTGTCGAGCGAGTCCTGGATTCCAATTAACAGTTCACCGCGAAGAGGGTCGTCGACTGCAAACTGCGGCGCGGTCAAGATGAAAACCTTGCAATGGCCGCGTGCAGGCTGCTTGGACAATGAGTAGCGGACGTTGGTGTTGTCCAAGGAGATGGTCTGAATCTTGGTGAACATGACCTCTTCAGTCAGCCCATCAAAGACGTGATCATCCAGTCCCATATTGTGGAAACCCTCAAAGTCGCCACCGGCTCGAAGCTCCTCCAACACGCCATCGATCGGGGCCTCCAACAGACTCCCCAAACTAGGGTGGATGGTCTGATTGTGGTTGAAGGAACCGTAGCCACCACTAAGTCTAGGTCCTTGACTACCCTTGGATCCCCCGAGCGCTGGCTGGTCAGCAAAGACGGATCGATCTTGGGAGGCAGAGAGATCGGCGCGGGCCAGCATGGAGCTAACGCGGCGAGATTGCCGTCTGGTTGCACCCGTTTCCTTCTCCAGATCCAGCGAAGACACCAAGTCGAGCGGCTTTTCGACCTTTTCGAGCTTCTCCACCTTTTCGCTCTTTCTTGAGCGTTTGCCGGGCAAGGGAGCGCCGAAGCTTTCACGGAAGTTGGTCTGGACCGGGGTTGACGCGCCGCTGGCGAAGTTGGGCTGCATGGAACTACGACGTCGCTCGGCTCGACTCTTGTCCTTCTTAAGGCGGCCAATGAATGGGTCCTGGTTCTTGATGTATGCTAACCTCCACACGGCATACGTGCTGGCTTCGCGGTTGATGGTGACGGCAAGAATCAACGGCTCCGTGGCCTTCGTTTTGGGGGCCCCTGGGTGTTTGATCTCTTCGATGTGCAAAATCTCCTCCGCGGGGTCGAGAAAGTAGGGTGACTTAGGCGTGCTCTTCCTCCTCGTCTCCCGAGTGCCAGCTTCAGGTCGTGTGACGACAAGTCCCAGGTCTTGCAAGGGGTCCATCAGAGAAACCAGCCGCGGCCAGTGGGAATCTGGCTGGTCCAGCAACGGCTCCCACATATTTCCCAACGTAGACCCCAGCCTCAGAGGTAAAGACTTGGGCTTGTTCAGGCCGTCGACGGAGAAGGCGGTATGGTGTGAGCTTCGAGGGGAGGTGACGGTGATCTGCGAGGAGACGAAGGAGTTTGGCGGCACTTTCGGGAACTTGAGAGACGCGGGGGCTGTGTTGTCGCTTCGTTGTTTTCGCTGTATGATGACTCCCTGAGGAGCGGCGCAGGCGGCCTCGACTTCGAACGGCATGTGCACGACATGGCTGGTACCGGAGAGGAAGTAGACATGGGCCTGTGTGCGGAGGATAACGACTAGTGCTCGAGACAAGCGACGGGGGGCGTCTTTGGTGTCGGTCGATGGGGTCTGCTTCGCATTCTTCTTCCTACTGTAGTCGGAGGTGGGAAAGGAGGCAAGCAATGCCTGCGTGATGGGTTCTTTATCGAGGGCGAAATTGTATGACTTGCGGAAGACGCCGCCGCGGCTCCAAACAACGCAGTCCTTGGTCACCAAAAGCTCGTCCTCAACTTCGCCTCCATCATCGTACTCGTCGTGGTCTGGGTCGGTGGTGACTTCCCAGGTGTATGTCGTCGGCGGGGCATCTTCGTGGATGGTGTGTTGGAGGCCGCTTGGCTGATGCAGCCCCAGGGACTTGACCGACGCCATTGGGCTCCCTCATGCGCGCGGGAAGCGGAGAAGACTGGCTTGTCAGAGTGTCTCGGTGTGTGCGGTGTATGTTGAGTGTCGACTCGCCATCCCAGCAGCGGGCTGCCGTCGTGGTCGAGGTTATGGTGTTTGGGCGGTCGACAGCACCTATGTTGATTCGTTTTTTGGAGTCGCGCTTTTGGCAGCCAGACGCGAGAGCTGTGCTCCCGCTGCAGCGCTCAACAGCCAGGTCCAGTCCACTAAACTTTGGGTTGGACAGTGGGGGAGGGGCATCTCACCCTGCGACTGTGATTGGAGCGCTGCCGCCTTGCACTCCGCTGTGTGCAACGACAGACGCTCGGAGCACATTTTCCTCAGCAGCTCCCTCGCAGCTCTCGGTACGTACCGAATGCACGCCTCGTGACGTAGCGGGACCGGCGCATTGCACCTGGTCTGGTACCTTTAACTCACCGAACTTGCAGCTTAGCTTCGGTAGCTTAGGTTGCTCCCGTCTGCTGTCTCCTTTGCTTCAGCCTACCTTCTCATCCACCGAACCGACCTCCCTCATTCAACCTCGCCCGCGAGACGACAGCGCTGCCTAATCGATCGTCGGCTAGCCATGCGATTGTCCATGCCGACGGCATCATTGGCACAATGACGGACGCTTCACCAGAGCCAGCCCCAGTCGAGGCCCAAACGAAGCCCGTCGTCGAGGACTCCGGCTCCGAATCCGAGCGCGACATCTCCAGCCCGTCTTCCGAATCACCGAGTGCGGCGCAGAAGGGCAAGGCACCCGACGTCTCAGAGGAGACCACGCCTGCAGATGTAGCGGGGCAAAAGGCGGAGAAGAAGGCCGAGGTCCACGAGGCCGAAGATGATGATGATGAAGACGAGGACGAGGACGAAGATGAGGATGATGATGACGACGACGATGATGATGATGAAGACGAAGAGCCGAGGCTCAAATACGCCAGATTGACCCAGCATCTGGCCCCCATCTATCGTAATGGCGACGCGACCAGCGCATTCCTTGTAGCCGGAGACAAGATGGTATGCACCTGTGCACGCCTTACACTTCATGCTAGCTGACAATGTCCGCGTAGATTATTGGAACGCATAATGGCGTTATCGTAGGTGTTTCTTCTCCATCCTCATGACGTCTGCTTACAAGTTCTAGCACGTAATTCAATTGCCCATGTTCCAGTCTCTTCGAGTTTACAAGACCTTCTCCGCCTCCGTCACGAGCATTTCGATATCACCGAATCCTCCACCGCTTCCAACGGCCCGTGCAGAAGCTGTCCAGAGACTTGCTCAAGAAGCCGCCGAAAGTGTCGCCAGGAGGCCCTCGACGCAGCAATCGGGGTCGCCAGCAGCTTCTCGTAGACCAAGGGAGCCGACGCCCATCCCGAACACGCCCTCCAACAACATCCACGTTGCGACGTCGTCCATGGACGGAAATGTCTGCGTTTTTTCCCTGACCGATCCTAAGGACACCCAGCTGCGCAACTTCGCCCGGCCCCTTCAGGGGGTGGCCCTCTCCCCCGACTTCAAGAACGATCGGACATACCTCTCAGGTGGTTTGGCTGGCCAGCTTATCCTGACAGTTGGAGGATCACCTGGACGGAGTACATCCACCACTGTGGGTACCGCTGCGGCCACAGCGTCTGGATGGCTTGGCAGTATGGGGTTGGGTGCGAACACTGGCAAGGATACTATTCTGCATTCCGGCGAAGGCACCATCAGCGCGATCAAGTGGTCTCTATCGGGCAAATATGTCGTGTGGCTGAACGAACATGGAGTCAAGATCATGCGCTCAAAGCTCCATCTGGATAGCGGAGACTCTGAGGATGCGTGGAAGCGTATTGGGCATATTGACCGCCCGCAGACCGACGAGTGGGAAGCAATGGCGAGCGCATGGAAAGGCCGTGCCGAGTGGATTGACGAACAGGCCGTCGAAACAGATGAGACCGAAGTCGTCCAGACCGACGTCGTCGGCACTCCTACAACCGAGAGTTCGAAGCCCCTGGCCACCTCGCATTATAAGAAAATCGAAAGGCTTGTTGTTGGATGGGGAGGTACGATATGGATTATCCATGTGCACCCCGGCAGCCCTGCGACGGGTAAACGTGGGAGTGAAAAGACGATTGGTCGTGCCGAGATCGCCAAACAGTGAGTGCATTATGGTGCTCTTGAAGGATTTTGGCTAACGCGACGCAGCCTCCGAATGGATTGCATCATTTCTGGAATTTCGTTATATACCCAAAACCTCCTCCTTGTATTAGCATATGTTCTACCAGACGACGACGAAGATAGCGATGACGAAACGCAGCTGGCAAAGGGCCACAAATCAAAGCCTTCCACGACCTCGACAAGCAGCGAGCCTTCCGGGGGTAGAAGGCGTCGGCAAAACCATCTGCCGCCGGAGCTCAGATTGATCGATCTCACATCGCAAGCTGAAGTCGATAAAGATGGCCTCAGCGTGAGTCGATACGAGAGTCTCACGTCCGGCGACTACCACTTGGGTGTGCTTCCAGCTCAGAATGCCGCCTCGGCTGTCTCTGCATCAAAAGGAGCCCTAGACACCATTGCTGGTATTGGTTCAGACATGTGGAATGCCGCCACCAATCCGAGGGCCCTCTTTAGTTCTGGCGCCAGTATCAAGAGCAAGAATAGCGGGGATGATGTGTCCAGCACTCAGGTCCCGAGCATGGCCGCAGGCCCCCGCAGACCGGCTCAGCAAACAGTGCATCCGAATCTGATCAAGCCCGGAGTCAAGGTCTTCATCCACAGTCCGTTTGACTTCATTCTGGCCACAAAACGCGATCTTGGGGACCATCTCGGGTGGCTGCTCGAACATCAAGAATACCAGAAGGCCTGGGAGCTTCTTGATGAGCACCCAGAGATTATGGCTGCACCCCCTGAAAACCTGCATGAGCTAGTCCCGACGACGCCAGATAGGAAGTCGGCGAGCCAGGATGAATTACTGGACGATGGATCATCGGTCATGGGGTCAGTGGGTTGGGCTAAGAATCCAAACTCTTCCGCTCAGAAGGAAAAGCGACGGATCGGCGAGCTTTGGATACGGGAGCTTATCGAAGCAGGCAACTGGTCCGAAGCCGGTCGCGTCTGCGGCAAGGTCCTTGGATCATCCGAGAGGTGGGAGAAATGGGTCTGGACATTTGCCGGTGCCGACAAGTTTGACGAGATTACCAACTACATCCCGTCCGAGCCCATGTACCCGCCGATTCCGCGCACCATCTACGAAGTCATTCTGAATCACTACATTCAGGCAGACAAGCTGCGATTTAGAGAACTGCTGGATCGATGGTCGACAGACCTCTTTGACATCAAGATTGTCACCACAGCGTTGGAAAACCAACTCAAGTACCGCGATGTGCGCGAGGACAGCATTGAGGGTGGTGAGAGGGGTCGTGACTGGAAGATTGTTGTGGAATCATTGGCACGCTTACATGAGGCAAATGGCCGATTCCGAGAATCGCTGAAGTGCTACATCAAGCTTCAAGACGCTGACTCTGCATTCCGGCTCATTCGCGACAACCATCTTGCGGAGGCCGTTGCAGACGACATCCCCAGCTTCATCGGCTTGCGGGTTCCACAAAACCGAGAGCTCATGCGAGAACCCGACTTTGAAGCGGCCACGGCTGAAGCGATAACACTGCTTGTTGACGAAGCCCAGCACGGACTGGTCAAGCCTTCCGTGGTTGTGTCGCAGCTTCTTGAGAAGGACCTGAAGCTGTATCTCTTTTTCTATTTGCGTGGCCTGTACAAGGGCGAAGGCATCGAGGAGCATTCAGGCGAGAACCGCGACAGGATTCTGATGGACAGTCAGTCGCTCGTTGATGAGTTTGCGGACTTGACCGTTCAGCTGTTTGCCAAGTACGACCAGTCCCTGCTGATGAGCTTTTTGCGGTCGTCGACTTCATACACGTTTGAAAAGGTAAGCAAGATGCCCTCTGCTCTCCTGTTTAATACTAACAACCGCAGGCGGTACAAGAGTGCGAGAAGTACAAGTACGACGATGAACTGGTGCACCTCTACTCCAAGACGGGCCAGATGAAGCGTGCACTCTACCTCATCATTGACCGACTCAAAGACGTCAAGAAGGCCATCGACTTTGCCAAACTGCAGGACGACCCGGACCTGTGGGAGGACCTTTTGGACTATAGCATGGACAAGCCGAGCTTCATTCGCGGTCTTCTCGAGGAAGTCGGCACGGCCATCAACCCCATCAAACTCGTCCGACGCATCCCGGAAGGGCTCGAGATTGAGGGTCTTCGCGAAGGCCTGAAGCACATTATGAAGGAGCACGAAATCCAGCACAGCATCAGCTCTGGCGTGGCAAAGGTGCTCCGCAGCGAAGTCGCCGCCGCCCAGAACGAACTGCGGCAAGGTCAGCGCAAGGGTATTAAGTTCGAGGTCGTCATTCAATCCACGCAGCATGTCGACGTCCAAGTCCGAGACGTTGTTCCTGCGCCGGTCAGTGCTGAGGACGTCGAAGAGAACTTTCTCCAGACGAAGACAGAGCAGCCGGGCCACACGCACGAAGCGCCGAAACCGGGCCACTGCGCGCAATGCCGTGAGTCTTTCACGGAGTACGAGATGGAGACGCTGGTTGGCTTCGCATGCGGCCACGTGTTCCACCTCTCGCACCTCCTCGAGGTACTCTACCCGGGCAGGAAGTTGGACAACGACTACGGACTCAGCAGCGAGGAATCGATTCGCAGTGGATACAGGGTAGGAAGCAAGGTTACGCACGCGCGGTTGTTGAAGGATCGTATTAGGGAGGGATGTCCTGTCTGCACGCACCGGAGCGCGGACGTGCCCGCGTAGGCTATGGGTGTTGTAATTATAGCGAGCTGAAAGCATACGGCGGGATAGACTGTCCATTTCAAGTCATTGATCCTACCTACCGTACATCGTGATTGTCCTACCATCATCTGCATCTCCTTAGGTAGGTAACACATGTGGGCCCCGCGCACGGGCCGCAGCGGCAGATCAGCGCCTCGGCCCCCGATTCGCCCCTCCCCCACGTGCCGCGCCGCGCCTGAACGACATGCCATCCCATCCCGCCTCCTCTCCGCTCCGGAGGACGTCGCGGCGAGAAACCCATGCATTCCGCGACGTTCGGCAAGGGAAAACGGTATGGAATCCTGGGGTACCTCCCGGAGCAGGGCTCAAAGGAGGCCGAGCTGTAACTTCTCCCCCCATCCCACCCCTTCTTTCCTCGATTGTCACTAACAGTCGCCAGATACGCCCTAAACGCAAGCACCTCCCCGCTCCTCCTCCTCCCCCCCGAGATCCGCAACAAAATCTACGCCCTCCTCCTCGCGCACCGGCGCATCCACGTCCTGCACGCCCCGCGCGCCCACCCGCCCAAGTTCCACTGCCTCACGCTCCGCGCGTCCGCGAACCCGTGGACGCATAAGCGGCGGCATGTGCTGTCGCGGGGCATGACGCTGTTGGCGGGGGTGTGCAGACAGCTATACCGCGAGACGGACCTGATTCCATATAGGGAGTGTGTGTGGAGCTGGGGGAGTGTGGCGGTTATGGAGCGGTTTCTGGTTGCGGAACGGAGGCTGGGGTGGGTGCAGCGACGGGTGTTGAGGGAGGTTTGTGTGAAAGGGCGTGGAGGGGCGTGGAAACGGTGTCGGGGGGTGTTGGCGGGGTTGGAGGTTGTGTGGTTTTGGGAGGGGGAGGGGTGGGGGGTTGAGGTTGTTGAGAGGAGGGGAGCGGAGGGGGAGGGGAGGCCGAATTGAGATATGACGTCCGAATGAAGATGAAGAATACACGACGTATACGAGAAGGTTGAACGGCATGATTACTGCGGACCGCTCGATATAGGGTTGACGCGAAAAGGGGACACGCTGAGCTGGAGTTGGTTGATACGGCAGATATCTAGTCCATCGTGTGATTGCGCGTCGGATCCAGTTTGAGCTGTGGCTTCGGGAAATAGGAAGTTAGATCATGGTCCCTTGATCCTCGAGCCGATCCATCAACGATCCAGGCACACGATCAAAGCGCTGAGAAAACACATCGCCTCCCATGAAGACAGCTCTCCACCATCAAAACGTCATACAGATGTCGTGTCCTACTCAAGTGCAGTGAGGCGGCAAGTCCTCTTTCAGCACACTTACGCGTCCCCGCCCAGTCCTCCACAGTATCAACATCAAGTACAAATCCTCTACGTTTTGTATCGCTGCTCAGATCTTCAGGCAGCCTCATGTCAGCGCCATTAGACGCCTAGCATCAAGAATCATCGTCACCAAGAAAGTCAGTTGAAAGCCGCCGTAGACGTGGTAGAAGGTTCAGGCAGCAGCCACCGAGCGTAGGCTGATGACTAGGTCAGAACACATAAGCGTACAGGGTATACTTTACGTACGGAAAAGACACATTGGCATCTACAATGTGTGCTGTGGCTGTCAACTCAGCTTTACCCGCGTCGATGGATGACTGATAATCAGCTACGTATCGTACTCACACATAATTTACGACATTCATAATAGTACACGTCCGTGAAGCTGGAGACTGAACACTAGCAGAACATCAGACTGGCGGTACCTGTCAGCTCTCACCATATGAAGATGCCAATTATTTGCAATGATCAACGAGCCATGTATTCATCTAGACTCTGAACCCAGTTTTGCCACCATGCAAAACGCCCGACAAAGAAAATATCCCAAGATGTCTATTCATACACGACGTAAAAGTCTCCCGATATCCTCCGCCACATTACAGCCTCACAGCTTCATACCCAACGCCTTGTGCACGCGCATGCTCTGCCTGATGCTGAGATCCAGCATGATCTCCTCAGAGCCACCAGGGATAGCGTAGGCACGGACGTCACGGTACAAGCGCTCGACCTTGCCACCCTGGCCGCCGCGGGAGTACGACAGACCACCGAAGATCTGGGACGCCTCACGCGCGCAGAACTCAAAGGTGACGGTGGACTGGGCCTTGAGGGAGGCAATAGCACCGCCGAGCTTGAGCATGGCCTCGGTCTCGCCCATCTTCTCGCACTGGAAGACGACGTTCTCGAGCCAGTTGTAGGAGGCCTCGATCTGGCGCGCCATGTGGGCGAGCTTGAGGCGGATGACGGGGTGCTCGATGAGCTTCTTGCCGAATGTGCGGCGCTTGTTGGCGTACTTGACGGACTCCTCGTAGCAGACGCGGGAGAAGCGGAGGCACTGAATGATGATGCCGATACGCTCGTGGTTGAAGTTGGTCATGATAACTGCGATTGTTAGCTTGGTTCGCTGTTGCAAATGTGATGGATAACATACCTCTGAAACCCTGGTTCTTCTTGCCGAGGAGGTTCTCGACGGGGACCTTGACATCCTCGAATGTGATGTAGGTGGTGCCGGAAGACCAGACACCCTGGCAGTCCATACGTCTCGTCGTGACACCGGGGCCTCTCTCGATGAGCAGCAGGCTGACGCCGTTCATGCCGGGGCCGCCAGTGCGGACGGCGGTGGTGAAATAGTCACACCAGATACCGTTGGTAATCCACTTCTTCTCGCCGTTGACGATGAAGTGCTTGCCGTCCTCGCTCAACTTGGCCTCGCAAGTCAGGTTGGCAACGTCAGAACCGGCATCGGGCTCGGTGATGGCCAAGCAGATGCGCTTGTCACCATTGAGGATGCCAGGCAGAATGCGGTCGACCAGAGACTTCTGACCAAACTTGACGAGCGGCGGGCATCCAATACCGAAACCACCGATGACGTTCCAGACGAAACCACCAGAGGCGGAGCGGGAAAGCTCATCGGTCAGGAGCATCTCGTGGAAGAGATCCCAGTTGTCGGGGTGTACGGAGGCGACGGTGTTCTTGGTGTACTGGGTAGGGTAGTGGACACCCAGCAGACCAGCCAAGTAACCGCGCTCACCCATCTGCTTGTAGATCGCGGGGTCGACCTCCTTCTTCTCATCCCACTCGGTAACGTAGGGCTCGATGTTGTTGGTCATCCACTCGCGGACCTCGGCACGGAGAGCGGCGTGCGTCTCGTTGAAGTAGGGGGAGTGGTGCTTCACGGTGTCAGTCAGAACACGCCATGCAAAACTCTGGAAGCCGACTTACTGCGTGGTACCAGGCCGGGTCGGCGTAGGGGATCATGTCGCCAAAGGGGTCCAAAGGCTCCGACTCCTCAGTCTTGGCAATGACCTTCTTCTCGGCCTTCTTGGTAGGCATGGGAGCGGCGGCGGCGGCATCGGGCTGGGCGGCCTTGGGCTTGGAGTCGAGGGAGCCGACCTGCAGCTTGGCCTGGTACTTCTTCAGGATGCCCTCGTTGTGGTACTTCCAGAACTGCTTGGAGGCATCCTTGCCGGCAACGCGCTGGAGGATCTTCTTGCCACCTGTGAACCGGTTAGCTGACGCCGCACACGATGTAGCATGGACGGCAGAACGCACCAGGGTGGTCATCCTGGAACTTTGTGAGGTCGTAGACATCGCCGTCGACGATGATGAACAAGTCCTCGGGCTTGTTGTGCGACGCGACGTCGCTGGTTGAGAAGGTCTTGGACATGGTTGCGATGCGAGGGGAGCTGTCGTCGGATGATGGGATTGATGGGTATCTGGACAAGTAGGGAAGAGAGACAAGGTTCCTTTCAAGACAGACGAGGGGGGGACTGTGATGTTTAAAGACAATGGCGTCGAGTCGTGCGTGGCACAGGGGACAAAGTGTTAAAGAACGAGTCGCGACGGCCACGGTCGGCAATGAGGATGGGCTTTGGGGGTGGTCAAGGCGATCACATGCTTGCGGTAAAGCTTCCGCCGTGGACGTCCATCAGTGCCTTAGTAGTAGTAATGTACTAAGGATGCTGGACCTCAGGACTCAGGAGCGGAGACAGCCGCACCCAGTTCCAATGCAGCTCCCTCATGGCATCGGCAGAAGGAGAGGTACCTCCGCACCCGTACGATGCGGGGGAGTACATGGCGCCATGTCGTATACAGGCACAATGTCCGCCGTGCAGTGGCACCCCGTGGCCCCCACAATCTTTGCGACGCTCTGCAGCATGGAAACGCTGGTCTCGGGGCAGCGAGTGTGGGGAAACCTGCTGAACCATTCCTCGGTCAGTCGCTAATTGCTCTGTTCTCAGTGGCGGACGCGTTCCGCCTGCTTTAGCACCATCACTGGTGAGCATCCGGAGGCTGGGGCCTTTCTTTCGCTGGTGCAGACAGATAGCCTTCCGCTATCCCCGTGTTGTCGACTGGTTTTGGCGCTAAGCGTGTCATGTGCACCTGTTTCCTGCACCTGTCTGACCAGTCAGTGCCCCCATTGATTGAATTTCTCGTTGCGTTGGCCGTTCCTTTGGGGGTTGCGTTGCGTCCGGGGGCGTCGCATGTGATTCTTTTCTCTGTTTCGGGAACGTCGCTTGCTGATGTCACCGACCTGCTGTTTCCAAAAGTGGCCCTGGACCTCGGCATCTTTTTTGGGAGCAACCTCTTGGCCAATGAGCAGCGCGGGGTTGGTCATGAGGACCCACTTTACCCCCGTCCCGCTGTTTTGCTGCCTGTGGCACGGCGACGCGCTCCTGGAACGGTAAGGACGCACACCGATGGTGAGGCATGCACCCCGAGTCAAGCACATGATGCCCAGTCAACCACGGAAGAAAAGGATAAACCCCATGGGCAGAACAGAGATTAGGGTAGCATGCCGACAGATTACCCCGTATAAAGCACGTGGGCGGTCTGGAGTAGCCGGTGATTGATGAAGACAGCCGGGAGGTTGGATCTTGACCGTCGATTGATGGACTCCGGCCGTTTGAGGTCTCGACCCCCGTAGCCGGCAACCAGCGCCGCCACCCGGCCGACACATCGTCCGGTCTCTTACCAACCTCATGTGTGGCTGTCATGGACGCCATCATCGATTGAATAGCATCCGCTCCAATGTGATAGCCCGTTTCCTCCCAATCACCCGCCACCCATTTGCCACTGTATGCTTTCGAAGGAAGAGGGATTGGGGCACCTGTGGTCTAATCCCAATTGCCTTATGTTTTTTTTCAGGCTTGAGGCTTGCTAGCGACGGGATGATATGTTAGCTCTGAAGCCAGGAGGCCATGTTTACACTGATTTCAAGAGAGGTCGGTAGAGGTTCTGCACGAGATCCCTTCAAAGCCTTCTTAAATCAGTCACTTCTCAACTCTTAGAACGCTGTTAACTCTTCATACGTTTCCGGTTGAAAAAAATACTAATTTCAAAATTGGAGGATGTACCTCATTAGTTAGAGGAAAGCTCCAGAAGGACATCCCAAACATGAAAAAGGGTCATTGGCAATGGGCTTGCAAATTGGTGGAGGGACGACACAAAAGATGCCTGTCACTTTATTTCCTTCTCATTTTGCATTTATCTTAAAGGTCCATGGAGCACGAAGCGTGGGTGCTTGTTCAATCCTTCGTATCCAATCAGCAACAGGCGGCGAATCATCCTCGTTCTTCTCCATGGCAGCTGGAATACGCCGTGCGAAATGCTCAACAATAAAGAACAAAACATCAGAACAGAGTCGTCTTTACCGCCACACCACCATCGTATTGATGAAACTACACGTAGTTCACGCGGGGCCTGGGTTGGTATTCTCGGTAGCAAAAGATCAGTTTTCTGTACAAAAAGTACCTCACATCCGACCCCACGCCGAATACAGGAACCTGCGGCCCGTCGTTCCTTCGAGCCTCTTCGTTACAGGCGCCCAGTCTCTCCCGTTTCTACAGCTGGCATCCTCACACCAGATAATGTTCTCGGAATGGTAGTCCCTACCTATGCCATAAGAGACCGGATCAATTTGACGAACCACGCCCTCCATACACGAAGTTTTATTGGTATCATAAGTTGCCGGGCTCGAACGCTGGAGGAACACCACGCTGCCGTCCCTTGCCCAACAGTAAACAGCAGTACAGTACTCACAACTCACAGAGTGCTGTTCCATTGAGTCGTCCCACGAAGCGGGAATGAATGGATCCCCAGGAGTAAGTTTCGAGGCCTCATTACATGTGGGTATGGGTTCGCCAACAAGTCCTGGCCTCGAAGACGCCATCGAACTGCTCACGCCGATGCGAAGGTCCGCCCCGAGGCAGCTGCAAATTCGCGGATCGAAACACTGCAGGAGTCTAGGGAATTCGAAGTGCGGGCAAAGCAGGTCCCTGCCATGCCTGTTCCCAAAGTCGCGCAGCCGGTCCAGTACGAATGCATCCGTAATTCGTTCCTCGCCCAAAGTGAAGATGGGCAGGGTCCATTCGATTTGGAACCACCAGGTACGGCTGACGGCTGAGATTGACGGCGGGACGGTCCGGCGGTGGCCCTTGGCGGCAGAAACACCAGACTGACATAACTTCATGCATTTCTCACAGTCGACAAATGTAAATCTGCGCTGGTCCTTGGCACGCAGACCGCTCATCAATTGGCCATTGATATCCGTCATTGAGACGCAATAATGCCGGCAAAGATTGACGGCGCCACGCCTGCAAAGGACGGGTGCCTCAAAGCGTTTGGAAGACTGCACCGGTAAATAATTCCGCCGACATTAAAAGCAATCCGTGTAGTCGCATGTTCCACGCTCAAGATGGGCCAGGCGGCGCCCATAACGGTAGCTCTCTTGGAACACGGTCAAGTTGGGGTTCTTGGCCTTCATCGTGTAGCAGTCGTCGCACAGATTCAAACGCGTCACAAGCCCCCGCAGCATCGGGAGCCAGCGATAGATAGCCCCTGAGGTTTGGTAATCCAGATTGAAGCAGACCACTTCTCGCCCCTGAATCTCTCGCACAACTTGAACGGCCTGGAACGCCACGTCCTGGGATAGCCGGAAAAAGGTGAAGCAAGTCTGGCGGAGTATGTACAACTCGTGAGGTGGCGCCTTGCGCATGATGTTGATGAGAATCTCCTCCGGAAGTTGAAGCAGGCGGCTTTCCCGCATGTTGCGAATGTGGTTCTTGTTCCATGTCGAGAGACTGAGCCAGCTTATTTGAACCTCTGGGCTGTCGGCCTCTGGGCACTGGCTGAGACCGGTCTGTTCTTCGGAAACTTGTGCATGTTGGGGCTCTTCTTGGGCAATTGGGAGGCATTCTTTCGTTTTCGGAGCTTTCTTCTTCGCCTTGTTGAGCTTGGCAGCTTTCTGGCGCAGGATATGCAGCTTCATTGTGAAGAGAGGTTCAAAGGAAACGAGAGTGAGTAGTTTATGATGCAATGCAGCGTCAGCGAAAATTATTTCGAGCTAGAGGGTGGGAGCTTTCTCACTACAAACTCAACTTGTCCTCGAAGGCTCAAAGCTATATATGTATCTTGGTTTCAGATATCTCCGAACGGCAAAGTGCAAGGTGCTACCAGTGTTTCTGAGTAAATCTATGCACCACAGTGGAAGATTTATGCTTCGGAGATGCCAAAATACTAACTTTGATCAAAGAGGTACTCGAATCTGTCTCAAGTCCTTGACATATCAGAAAGAGAGATTGTAAGTGCTTAGTAACCTCGCAGAAAAAAAAAAAAAAACCAACGCATCCAACTATTACCAATTGCATTTAGAAGTCGCCAGAAGCTGACACAACCTACCTCCCATTTCATTGCGTAGATTAGGAAAACAGGAACCCGAGGGCTTTAGTTATCTGATTTACTATGAGCCTTCCCGTGTTCAGACGCAAAGGTTGCTGAAAGAACCACAAGGCATGACCTCTTGGGCCCAGACACCCTTGGAATGCGCATTCTCAAAAGGTATGATGGAGATTCACATGTTTCTGCGAAAGGAATCCTTGTTCTCATTTAAAGCATTTATTTGCCTGAGAACACCCACACTGGATGGACTGAGAAGTTCCTCAACACCAACCGTTTCCTGACATTCCGCTCGACACATTGCCTCAACTATCAGATCTGCAAATAATTACCTCTGTGTTTCGGAACACTTCACGACACTACCGGCGATATGTTTGATTTCCAGATGGAACCCATATCGATACAGCTCTTTCTGATCTTCTTTGGCCTGGAAGTGGTATGGCAGTTCCTTGAAAGGCGTTATCCTTACAAATGGGATCCATCTCTGAAAGAAGACACGGCACAAGAGCAACACGCCCAAGAAAGACTTGCATACGTTTCCCCGCGAATTTCTTCAAATGAAAGACCGACCAACAGTACATTGCAGTCTGCGAAGCGGATTGATTCAGAAACCAGCTCTCACTATGGATCATCTAGCAGCGAAGGGAACAATGATACATCGCAAGTCACACAACGGAATAACATAGGAGCCAGCTCTCATGACGAATCATCTGTCGACAAGAGGAATAAGAAAGCAACGTGCGGCTCTTTGAAGAACACAGATTCGGGAGACGTCACCCCCGTTCCACCATCGCTGCTTATAAAGCCTTTGGTCCTAATACCCGAGACTCGACACCCCTCCCGATTCAAGATGCCAACCATCCCTCTTCAGAAACCATTCGCAAGCAAAAAGAAGGGGTCTTCACCCGAGTTTTCGAGTTGGGAAGTTGCCTTCGAAGGAAATGTTCGGAGGTCTCGGCTATTGCAGTTGCCTGACGAGCTGTTGCTTGAGATCATGCACGCGACCGCCATCGACGACTTGTACATGCTTCGCCAAATTTCCTTCACATTCTGGCGTCTGTACCAGGGCTGCGAATTCGACAGGTTTTACTGAACACATATGCAGCCATTGACGGTTCCCTCACAACGAAACCTGCCGTTACCAGCAGGATTTCGCCACGACAAGAAAACAGTCACAAGGGCGAGGCGCAACGCGTTCTCCGAACCTTGTTTGGAAGTCCTAGAGTCGGGAACTCATAAGGCGAAATTGGGAAAGGAACTATTCTGCTCATTTTGCAGAGTCAACCACTATGTATGGCGGTTTTCCCCGGCGCAACGTTCTAGCCCTGACGCGACACGGCAATGCGTCATTCCCGACGGGTTTATTCGACTCTGCCGGCACCGACTGGTATCTATCAAAGCCATGCGTACCCTCTTCTTTCACCATGACGGGACGACAAGATTGCAATACGATCACAGTTACACCATAGAACAGTGTGAAGAATGTCGTAGTCAAGCCTTTCACAGTGGCTGGGACGGTCGCCGCAGCGAGTTGGAACCCCCAAGCCTACGTCTTTCCACTCAAAGGTGCAAATCTCAGCATTTTGCCCGACTGTCTCTTAGCTGGACGGTACCGCTCCTCCAGATTTCGGAAGATGCACGTGTATCGATGACGGATGTTCAAAAAGCGCTCCAAGAGATTGAGAGCAAATGTGGGTTCACGACCTGTCCTCACTTCAACTTCACCGATGGCCGACTGCTTCGAATGCTGGATCCACGGGTTTGCGTCTGTTTTGGAAACGATAATCGCTTGAGGAGTCAAAAGGAGCACGATTCAAAAGATACTGCAAGCACACAGATACGAACGAGTTGCCGCAAGGAAGCAATTCAAAAACGAACATCATACGGCAATCAGTTTGAGGCAGTGTTCCATGGCGGCTACAATCACTCTATGCTGTGTGAATTTAGCGATACAGAATATCTGCTGATAAGGTACGGTAGGCACGTTTTCTTGCGTCGAAACACCAGTGCAGACCTGACTTCTTGGGGAGGCACAGCATACTGGTATTTACAACTTATGTCAGCGCTGGGGGCGAGCTGTTGTACGCCAGAACGTGACGAGGAAACCAAGCATCTTACTTGGTGCGATGAAAAAGATTGCAGGAATGGGAAAACATAGGGATGCACATTTCATACTGGCATACTGGAGGCATCGAAAGAAAAAGCGCAAATGACAATGCCAATAGGCAGCAGGCGATCATCCCATTGTTTGAGCAAAATGCCATATGTTACAAACAGACGGCAAAGGCGAAGAAGATGAGAGACAACAGCAAAGGAGACGAAAGATAACGGCAAAGGAGACGAGAGACAAGAGAGCTAATGACAACAGGTAACAGAGAAGGTTGATACTTGAGAGGGAGTGGGAATTGCATTGACCTGTCTATCGAAGTCCGCCCCGCGGGCGCCGACCGTCATCTGATATCATTGAATTCCGTCCTAAACAAATCGAAGCGTCCCTTAGGGGTTTGCAGTCTGGCCAGTGGGAGCTTGAACAGCGGGAGCCTGTTCAAGTGCCGCGATTCTCTGCGTGAGTTCCGAGACCTGATCTTCCAGAAACATTGTGTTCAGCTTGGGGGTTGCCCCAGCCTAGCTTTCATCTCAGCATGTTCCAACACTTGCAACTGGACGTTCAACGCGCTTCAAACCTTGCAAAATGGCTAGGTCGATGTTACGGAATTATTAACTGCCACAAAGATTTGGTCACAACTTGTTTTCTACTGGCGGTCACTGCTCGGAGCATGCAAAATATTGGAATATGGTATGATATTGGCAAGCCATGAAATGAGTTATCTTCAGCTTGTAGCGGAAGTCCAGTAGGTTCATAGCCGGTAGTGTGAAGCTGCCAAAGGTCCCATGCATTCGAAACGAAACCGAATGCCAATCCCGCTGGCTGGCTTATTTTGTCACTGATGGTGGCAATGACATCGGCCGGATTGAGGCTTGAGTCCATGAAGAATTCATTTCAGGGCCTTCTGAGCCACAAAGAGAAATTGAGCTCGACCCACGAGAAGGAGTGTCGGTTAAGCCAATGAAGTTCCCACCTCATCCGATGATTCTCCAATCATTCAACCGAACATTCATCAAATCAAACGTCCACGGGCGGCCCTGGCCTCGGGTTTTCGGGCTGATAAAATATCGCGCTCCGCTTATCCAGCTCCATCATGGATACTACCGAAGTTGCAGGGTGGCCGCACCATCTGCCGGCGCGCCCCGCTGCGGAATTTCTGCAGCGTGCATGAATTCCACGGACTTGGGCGCTCCCGGTCGTCTCATCTTTCTTCTTTCCCACCCCGATCTTCATCCCTTCTCCACGAGGCGTACCGGATTCTCGGGTGAAGTCGTTGCTTTCCAACAACAAAGATCCCAACAACCAACAGTCTGCCAACAAAAAGCCATCAAACACTGACTCGCGACAACCCTGAAATGGCCGAACCAACACCAAGTCCCGCCGCTTCCTCCCCAGTCACTGAAACGGCTGCACCCGTCTCACCGCGGCCCGCCCCGGAAGTGGAGGTTGAGGTCGATCAGGAGGAGCTCGACTCCTCTTACGGGGACGATGAAGCCTCGCGCGCCAGCACCTCGCTCAAGTCCATCACATCCAGATATGAATGGAAGCACGGTCGCCGGTACCACGGCTACCAGTCGGGTACTTACAACTTCCCGAACGACGAGCAAGAGCAAGACCGTCTGGACATGATCCACCATGTCTTCTACCGATTGATGCACGATCGCCTTTACCTCGCACCCATCAACACGGAGGGTCTCAAAGTCCTTGACATCGGCACGGGGACTGGCATCTGGCCCATTCAATTCGGCGACGAGCACCCCGAAGCTGAGGTCATCGTCGGCAATGACCTGAGCCCCATCCAGCCGGACTGGGTACCGCCTAACGTCAAGTTCATCATCGACGACGTCGAACTAGATTGGATGGAGCCAGAGAAGTATGACTACATTCACTGCCGCTACATGGCTGGATCCATCAAGGACTGGCCTCGACTGCTGAACCAGATCTACGAAAATCTGAAGCCCGGAGGATGGGTGGAGCTCCAAGAGTCGGCCAACACTCTCTACTCGGAAGACGGCTCGCTCAAGCCAGACAATGCCATGATTCAGATGATGGACGGCCTCATGGAAGCTTGCGAAAAAATTGGACGGACCATGGATCCTGCTCCCTCGTTCAAGCAGTGGACCGAGCAAGCTGGGTTTGAACACATCAGTGAAAAGAAGTTCAAGTTACCGATTGGCAGCTGGCCTAGGGATGAGCGGTTGAAGGAAATCGGGACATTGATGGGTCACAACTTTCTCGAGGGGGTAGAGGCCTTCACCGCAGCTCTTTTCAAAGATGTCCTGGGTTGGTCGCAAGAGGAAGTCATTGTTCTCAACGCTGGAGTCCGAGCGGCGGTCCATAAGAAAGATGCGCACCCTATTTTCGACTTCGTTGTTGTAACTGGCCAGAAACCAAAGTCGGCCTGACTGAGGTAGTAGAGATATATAATGTTGTTCAAATGCAATTGTCTCATCCGCCTGCCCACGTTGAAACTGATGCATGAGGTT